AAAAAAAAAGGTCACAAATTCTCCTGCAGCCCGTATAGGGGCGTTACATGTCCTTATATTCTTTAGTCATTGTAGTTTAGTCAACAAAAAACACTAAAAAAGGCAACTAACGCGAAACAGGGATACGGAACAATTACCGCATGATCGCTAGTTCCGTATACCTGTTTCGCGTATTATGAGCTCTGTTACGAGAGATTTTTTGAAAATTCTTTTACACACTGTTTATATAGATTCCATAGAGACATAATCCGTGGGGGGAGGAGTATTAACAAATCATTCCAATAATTAGTTTAACAAATACATACTTACGGGATTGTGTAGTGAACAGGAGTGCTAAGAGGGGATAATACAGCAATAATCGAACAGTAATTCATTGTTTATTGCAGGTGTCATAACGCGTGCCATTAATATCTCACACTCTTGTGTCGCCATTAATATCTCACGCAAAGAAGTTGAAACCATTGCAATCAAAACTCTTTCGTGCAACTTCGTGGTTATAAATAGTCTTTATATAACTTCTTTGCGGAGGGGGTTAATCTTTTTTTGATATAATATAACAACAAAAGATTAACACCCTCCGCATGGAAGTTGTAACCAATGCAATCAAAACTCTTTCGTGCAACTTCGTGGTTATAAATAGTCTTTTTTACAATTTTTTAACGCTCCCCCTACGGATAATGTCTCTATTGAACCTCTATAAGCGACCTGTGAAACAAATTTTTGAAAAATCTTTAAAGATACGCGAAACAGGTATACGGAACAATTACCGGGTTGCCACCTGTCCTATTTTGAAAAGGACAGTCTTTTTTTGGAACAAATTGTCCTTTTTACTTCTTTAGACCTAAAAAGTCCTTTTTATTTACGTATACCTACTTTCTCTGAGAAATTATCTACAGCAACAAGCAATATTCCTTTCGCCCAAATTTATTAAACATATTTACGTACCTATTTTCCCTGAGAAATTATCTACAGCAACAATCAATATTCCTTTCGCCCAAATTTAATTCATAAAACTTAAATTTGGGCTTATTAAAAAAACTTAAATTTTTTATTAAAATATTAAATAAATGTCAAAAAAGTATTAATTTTTGCGACGTGATTGCAAGATAACAAAAGTCATTTTAACGCCTAGGCATAAAAGTACATATGGGCAAGGTCGTGGTTTGGTTTGGTTTTATTAAAATGTTTTTAATTGGATAATAAAACCATTTTTTAGAACTTATCAACAAATTAACATCAAATTTAAGTAATACTTTTATCTATGAACACCAGTGGTGAAAATATATTATCCACCAATGTCGAGCGCCGCGCCGGTGGTCATTGGAAATTTTGGCTTAATATTATAATATTGGAGAAAGGCGCCTACCCTTATTTCGCACGACGGAGCCGAAAATACTTGGCGCGTCCCTGCTAGAGACGTGAGAAATATAAAATAACACGCGACCTGTGCTATCCCCAAGTTTTGCCCAAGTCTCTTCCTATATTTGTACAACTGTAAAGCACTTTTACGCCTAAGCAAAAGTACGAAAATATATTATGAAACTGACATACTGACATAGTGTCAAATTCAACGGTGTGACCCATGGTGTGACTCATGTAAACCATAATTATTTCTCGATACGAAAAAAAAACGGTGTCCAGTTGGCTTCGAAATGGACATCGATGACATTCTCCATATAATTTTACATATAAAATGACAGCGGATCGCCATCGCTAACGCCGGTTTTTTTTCGAACATACGGTACTATTGTTTAGAATCGGAAATCGGAATAATCGAAATAATTATTTACAACTCACCGTCTCAAACCCCGAATCTCAAATGATAGTTTAGGATTTTTAACCATTTTGATCTTAAAAAGAGCTTTTCACAATTTTAAAAGAGCAATCTATAATCGGCGGTTCACAATTAACAGCTTACCCCTCCCCTCTCCCCTCGGTCCTTTTTCATAGTCCAATGTCCTTTTTTTACTTTACAAAAAGGTGGCAACCCTAATTCTCAGATCTACTGAATATACATATAAAATTTCATCAAAATCGGTCAAGCCGTTGCGGACGAGTACGGTAACTCAAACTGTGCCACGAGAATTTTATATATTAGATCAAGTTCTTACTGCTTTAGAAATTCCCTCTCTTCCATATTGATAGGCATTATCTAGAATTGAATCCATTGTCTCATCCCATGTCGGTGGTAACAATTGCCTCAATTCAGGATTTTGCACCACTGTTTGGTTTATAACATTACCTACCATCTGTACTAACATTATGCCTTCTGCATAAATCTACAAGTTTTATTATACATATAAAACAATAAACATTCAGGATATTTCCTTACTTGCAATGCTGTAAAAATTGAAGCACATATCAAAAATATTATTAAGCCAATAATAACAACACAGCTTGCCACAGTGTCGATACTTCCTTTTATACTATCTTTTACTGTAGCATTAACTTTATGCACAATTTTGTACAATCCTCTGATTGGAACTGGAACTAAGGCATCATGCCTTTCCACACACCAGTCAATAATCTTGTTAAAAACCAATACCAATTTTTGAAGTAAATAACTCCACAGCCCCAAATAGATTCCAATATGTTTTACTACATAGTATAAAATAGGTAAAGGAAGTAAAGGAAGCAACATAATATTCTTCCAAAGTAGCATGATTACACAGCACCACATTACTGTATATAAGTAAAATGTACTCTCATAATTTATATCTTTAATATTGTGATTAGAGTTGTTCAAACTAATTTTTCGACTAATATTTAATATATTTGACTTTCTAAAGCGATTAGCAAAGAATTGTGGCTGTGAAAGAGATCTTTGAAACTTGGGTCTAGAATTTTTCAAAGCAGATTTATGCAAAGAATCTGTTGTTTGAACCAAATGAATGCCATGATTTGTAATTAATAGACCAGTGGCTGGTTCACTTGATTGACTTTTTGCAGCAGCATTATCGTTAAACAGTTCTAAGGACCAGGGATCTTCATTTTCATCTTCGCCATTGGAAATTGGCTTTTGATCACCATTGCCCAATTCTGCATCAGACTGAAGTTGTGAGTTAATACCTTTTGTTGGAGAATTAACTATCTCACTGTCCTAAAATATATTTATAAAGGAAATAACATATATCAATTTTAAAAACTCAAATATTACTTTTGCCTCCTGGTCTGTTCTTTGTTCTATTTCATTTATCCCATTTTCATCACTAATATCAAGATCTATAGGCCTGTCATGAAAAGCATAAGACAGCAGCTCAGTAAAAGATATTTTATGACCTAATTACATTTCTGAATTGTTATCCGTTTATATACAATTATTTATTATTAATGAAAAATTTATACCTGCTTCATTCACTGTGCAATATACTTGATAAACTTCTGATATGAAACCACCAAAGAATATTATTTGGAGCAATATAAAGATAGGCATTTGGAAAGTGTGAAAAAAACTAGCAAAAGTGCATGAAGCTAACAGCCATATAGCTGTTGAAGCATAATGGAACTTCACATTATTTTCCTGATTCCAAAATAAAAACACCATGGAAATATATCCCAGAATAATAAACACTATCTGAAAAAAACTTACATAATTTTGTTATGAATGAAAAGTTTTCTACTTACTAATGTTCCTGAAGAATTGGATATAACAAAATTTAAAGTATTATAATTCCAGAGAATTACTTTCCATAAGGCTGAAATCATAACGCTAGGTGTAAAATGATATAAAAATATAGCTGAAGGAATTAATATCGCAAATGTTACAATTAATTTTAATCTATCCCATAAAAACTGTCCAATACCCTCTGACACATCATTGAAAATATTAACTGGTAATAAAGCAAACCCCAATATTGCGGGAGTATTAGTAGTTTCAAGCATTTGAAACCAGTTTTGAAATCTATCTCGAAGAGATCTTTTTAGAGGGTGTAAAGCTGAACCAACCAGTAAAGCCCACATTAAAGGCTTAACAAAAGGTTCCAGTATCATGTAAAGTCCCAAGGCTGCTGCAGCACATAGAAATAGAAGAAATAGGGCCACAGCGTTGTATACAGCTTGTTTTACTGGTTTATCATGTCCCTGAGGCAAACTGCCTATCACACCAAAAAATGATTCCAAAGGGGATCGATGGTCCATAATTCAGATTTCAGTTCCTTTGTAATATATTAATATGCGACATAAAATAACCATGTGCATATAGAATATTTCGAAACCATCGAAACCCGTAAAAATATAAGGCAATAGTTAATTTTAGCTGATTTTAGCACATAAGGCAGATATCTACTGTATGTTGCAATGGTATGTTGACTATTGTTGACAAAGGACAAAGACAAGTGATAAGTGATAATTATTTGTAAATAGAAGTGAAGATAGAAGCGATATGACCGGAGCTGCAGATAATCTTTTAGATGTCATTGTAGTATATAATTTTTTTTCATATTATATATGAGTAGAGTATCATATATTTCTATAGGGCGATAAATTTATTTTTAAAATTAGTTAGGGATTTTCTAAAAATGTTGTTTTTAAACCTTGGTTTTTAAAACCATTTAAAACGCTTTATTTGTCGTCATTAACTACGCTACTATTTCTACACATGTTCTACACTTTATCGTATGTAATTGTGTAAGTACTTCATTCTTTAGTTTATGTCATAAACAAAGAAATGAAATGGTCATAAATACAAAATACAAACAACTTTTACGTTTAATTTTGTTTTTCTCCTATTCAACCTCGCAAAACGATGGTAAATATTTGTATTATTTATTTATTCTACACGTAGTAGGCACACCTCCAAATAATAGTTAAGTGAAAACAAACGTGTTTTCCTGCTCGTGGTATATAAAGCGAGAACAACTAGTTTTTTATTTAGTTAGTAAAGGTCTTAATTAAAAGCAAATATTATTTTTTAATCACTAATCAAAATGAAGCGTGTGTATACCAATACCAATAAAACTTATATTTCAGTGGCTAAAAGGTATGTAATTTAAACAAATTTATTGGGATTCCTCCAGTTAAAATTTATAGCTTTTTGTCTATATTCTTTTCGCACGTTTGGCATCATTTCATAATCATTTTATTAAATAAATATAAATTGGGAGGATTTTTTTTCTTCTTGGAAATTATGATATGATATATATGAACTAAAAATTTTCTGCCACGCACTTTTTTTCGCGCTATTTTGAAAGTTTTAATTGTCACAGATGACGTGACATCGCCTGATTTTTATTTTAGTACAAAATTCTTATCGTCACTTCTAAATTTCTGTATGTTATTTTTAGCAAAGAAATCGAGATTATAGGTATTCATACATTTATTGAACACTTTCACATTCAATATTTCGGAAAAAATCGGACTTTCTGTGTTAAAATTGGTGATTTTTTAGGTATATCCCAGATTCAACTAGCATCGACGGCTTAAAAATGCAAGCTAAATCGGTTATTTTAAAACAATGGAAGTTGATTAATCAATTGAAAATATATTTTTCAAAATTTGCACACGATAGTAATATAGAAAACGTTTTAAATAAGGAATTTGCCAAGTTTTTACAAAAAATCGATCCTAAAATTTATGGTAATGATTTTGTACAACAGTTTTCTTCAACCATATCTGTTGATAATTCACAAGAAAAATCCGATGCTAAAGGAATAGATAAAGACAAAGGAGGTATTTCCTTTCCAAATATTTTTAGTAATATGTGGAAAGAGGAAACAAAATCAGTAACCATTCCAAAATGGAAAACAGAGAAACCAGCAGTGTCTAAGGTATCCTTTCTATTAATGGTAATATACCCATACAATTACATAGAATCTTTTAATATTTGTATAGGAATTGGTGGCAGCAAGGACAAAAAGTATTGTGTCATCCCTTGCATTAGCAGAATCTGATAAATGGAGGCTGTATGAACTAGAAAATCTCATTACACATCTGAAACAATACCCTGAAGCAAAACATTGTGCAGTTAAAGTAAAGGATTTAATTATTTAAATTTGACTACTATATATTAATAATATCGTAGGAAGGAGCAATTAGATTACTTTTGAGATTGAGCTACAAAGGTAAAAAGAAATCTATTCAAGGCCCTCTTAATGAGGCTCTTTCTCTCATTGGTCATGCTCATCCAGTTAGAGGTGAAGGCATACGCATTTTATCTATTGATGGTGGGGGAACAAGAGGAATTCTTGTAATTGAGATGCTAAGAAAATTAGAAGAGTTAAGTGGTAAGCCAGCTTACGAAATGTTTGATATGATTTGCGGTGTCAGTACGGGAGCTATTATTGGCGCCCTCATAGGTATTTATTTTATTGCAATTTAATCAATTTAGTATTTAGATATTATTTTTTTATGATGGAGCAGGATTGAAACAACATACACTTGATGAAACGACAGAAATTTATCGATCAATTAGTTCTCGAGTTTTTACTCAGTCAACATTAAAAGGTACCAGTAGTCTTGTATGGTCACATTCATATTATGACACTGAACTGTGGGAAAAATTACTACAGGAACAAATGGATAGTACATTAATTCAGACAGCTCGCAACTCAAAAACACCTAAGGTAAATATAATTTCCTTTGAATGAATTTTTTGTACCGATTTTTTTTCTCAGTATTGTGCAGTATCAGCCGTTGTAAATCATCCAAGATTGGCAGCATATGTTTTTAGGAACTACTCTTTACCATATAATGTGCAATCTCAATATATGGGTGGCTATGACCATCAAGTTTGGGAAGCTGTTAGGGCCTCTGCTGCAGCACCTACGTATTTTGAAGAATTTAAAATAGGGAACATGATTCTTCAGGTTGAGATACAAAATATTTTCAGACATTTTTTAACTAACTTAGTATTATTTTTTCTTAGGATGGGGGTATTCTTGTTAATAACCCTACAGCTGTTGCAATACATGAGGCTAAACTTTTATGGCCTACAACACCTATACAATGCGTAGTTTCTTTTGGAACAGGGCGAACAGTCCCAAATCCTATCGAGATTAAAGTTCCTACGAACAATAATACATCATGGAAGCATAAGTTTCTGGCTATATTAGATAGTGCAACAGATACGGAAGGTAAAATATAATATACCCGTGGTAATTTACTTGTATTATAAATAATTATTTTAGGCGTTCATACAATGTTGTCAGATTTGTTACCAGAGGGTGTTTATTATCGATTTAACCCATATTTAACAGAAATGCTTGAAATGTCTGAAATTGATCCTGTAAAATTGGAACAATTAAAGAGGGATGCTATTATGTATTTGCGACGAAACGAAGACAAATTTCAATATGCGATAAAGAAATTAAGCGTTCGACGAAACTATGTTCAGAAATCAATGGATTGGATTAATGTACAAAAGCAAATTTATGCGTGAATTTTTCTGTTAAGGATAGAATAGTAAATACTCAAATAGGTATAGTTACCTATATTAATAGAGCTGTGATTTGTTGCCTTTTTGTCTTATACAATTGATATTGTCTACTTTAAATAATTTTGTCCATATATTTTTAGATTTATATTTGTGAAATATAATATTTAAGATAAATAAAGATCATTTATTTGCAATAAAAACATATTTAATATAAAAATATAAATTAATGTATGAAAAAACGTTCAGTTGGCTTGGAAATGACGACGAGACATTCCTCATACAATTTTACATATAACGGCGATCTTCATGTCATAGCCATCGTTGACGCCGTTTTTATTCGAATTTCGTATCTTTCATCTCTACGAACTGACGCATTTGGAAGTCTCAAGTTTTTAAATGTGTGGGGCCAGAGAACACAGAATGTGTAGGGCCGCTGGTAGGGCATAGAATATAGAATAAATAATTAACTGGTTTAGGGACTGTAGACTGTAGGGGCAACGGAAATATGTTTCTCTGTTTGGGCTAGCGGCTAGAGTATACTTATCCTGGTATACCCTTATCCTTGTTTATAATATACCTAGTTGAATGTACTAGCACAGGTACTAGTACCATACTACCAAGAACGGTAAACTAATAGGATTGCTCATCTTTGTGATAATTTTGTGGCTCATCCTCATAAGACGTACGTTCGCTTCTTCCCGCGCTTCAGCTGACAGTTGTGACGTCATTGTAGCCCTTGTCAAAGCCTTCGTGGCCTTGTCATGATAGTGTGTATTATTAGTTGCCTATGGTAAACTTATAAAATAACAGCTGAGTAATGTTCAGTTAAATTATTTTGTCAATTTTAAATGTGAAAAAGGTGTCTTTAAAGTTTTTAGAGCTATAGAGTGTATAAATACGTTCATTTTGTGTTGTGGATTGTGACAAAGTGCATACTAAGTGCCCACGATTTTGTTTATTAATTGTTTTAAAGCAAAATATGCAAGTACTCTAAAAAAATGCTTTAAAGGTGATGCTGGGAACTGCTGTTGATAAAATGCATTATCCGAGTATTTAATACGATTTATACAGTTAATTTTCTATACCTCTTTACATATAACATTGTTTAAATAAATAAACTAAATAATGAAAGTTCAGATTTGGTAACCAATAAAAAGTACTATTACATAAAAAAGGTGATACAATACTTCAAAATTAATTTTAACATAATATCAAAACCGAAAAATCAAACTGCAAACACAACCAAACATATCACAACAGAAATTATCACACACTTCCACGGCAAATGTCCAAGAAAGACTGATCATTCTGATTGGTCCTGGTCCAGTCGTAGCTCAAGTCGTATTGTCGGTAAGCAAAATCCCTGTCCAAAAATTTTGACGATAAGCGCCATCATCCGTCATAATTGGGAAACTTTGCTGGAACCATGTAGTTTTCGCATGCACCTGGCGGACACTTTTGGCTGAATGAGCAGTCCTATTAGGTTAACTGTTCTTGCCATACTACCAGATACTACCGTATGATCGAGAAAAAATGGAATACAGTTGGCTTGGAAATGACGATCGTTGACATTTCCCTTTGACATTTCCCATATAATTTTACATATAAAACGACAGCGATCTTCATTTCATAGCCATCGCTGACGCCGTTTTTTTTTTCGATCATGTGGTAGTACTACTTTGGTACTACCCATGTACTACCTGGTACTAGTTGAAGCCATGTTGATTGAAGCCTGGCGTCCCTGGCGCATCCACCACGACGCGACATCAGAAAAAAATACTTTTTATTTTTTTTTTAATTAAATGAAAAACAAAAAATCCGGCGACGACAAAGGCAACTTTTGAGAGCTAGTCGTACTTCAGTAGAGACTGTAGAGCAGGGCCATGTAAGTGAAATATTAAAAATGGTTCCAGCAAAAGTTTCCCAATTATGACGGATGATGGCGCTGATCGTCAAAATTTTTGGAAAGGGATTTTGCTTACCGACAATACGACGTGAGCTACAATCGGACAGGACCAATCAGTAGAGGTGGGCCAGTCTGCGATTTTTGTGGAGCTGCTACGCTCTGCGACTGCTCCAATAAAAGCACTGTGACAAGTAAAATACATGGGCGGAGTAATTAACCTAGGAAAATTCTTCCCGCCAGTTTTATAGGTTAATTGCTTTCGTCATCATGTTCGGCACCGTTCGTTGCATTTACTTTTCTGTACAGGACTATAGTTTTGTGATTATGATAGGCAACATCATCGTCTCAAAGTTTTATTTATTTATATCGTATGTGAAAAACGGCGTCAGCGATATTATGAAATTAAGAACTTTTTTTATATGTAAAATCTATGTGGAATGTTATCGATATGTCATTACCTAGAAATTAGTTTATAATAATATAACCTGCTCGATAACAGCTAGGTTAGGTTAGGTTAATTGTACCTTGGAGCCGTTTTTTATTTCGATCAGTAGTGGCGATTTTAACGTCTGTGCAATCGGGGTAAGTCACCGACGGGCCCCAAGCCTCCCGGGCCCTTGCAAACAAGATTCGAACTTTTCCGAACTACGGGCCCCTAGAGCTCTTAAAATCGCGGCTGTACGGTACTATACTGATGTCTTAGTTTGATAGATGTTGCTATATTTTTTTAGTCTATTCAGAAGAATTTGAGTATTTCTAAGTACCAAGCACTTTGCTATAAATATCTTAAAGAGTCTGTTCAATTTCACAGAGTGGTATATATGGTAAGCAACTTAATGTTATATTCAATTCAAAGTTGAAACTGTCAAAATTTTATTAGTGACCGGTTTCGTAAATTTTCGAAATCATCATCAAAAATTAAAAAAATAAATAAAATTTATAACAAAAATAAATGATTTTTATTATAAACAACAAAACACAGATACAAAATTAACTAACAAATAAACATACTAACAAGTTAAAAATTACCTTTGTCAAAATATCTGTTTGTGATTAATATATAATACATAAATATCTTATTTAGATTCATGAAAGAAAAAAGCGAACGCTGCTACGTTTCCCGTTCCCAAACTCCCAACAGCTCCAGTACACAGAATATACTCAATATACTATGCTCCAGTCGACTTAGAAATGACGACTGTGACTGGACCATATCTTGACCGGGCGACGAGGCTAGGAGCATTTTCAGAATTTACACTATTGCCTGCTATTGCTCCTATTGCTACTCACGAGCGCAGGTGTCCTAAACTTGTATGGCGCTGAAATGTCACTGCTTTTTCTTGGAACTGGAGCATCACATGGAGCTGTGACAAAGTAGCGGACTGCGATTTCACAACCCACCTCTAATGATCAGTCTTTCTTGGACATTTGCCGCGGGAGTGTGTGTTAATTTCTGTTGTGATAAGTGTGGTTGTGTTTGCAGTTTGATTTTTCGGTTTTGATATTATGTTAAAATTAATTTTGAAGTACTGTATCACCTGTTTTTATGTAATAGTACTTTTTTTAGTTCTATGATTGTTTCTATGTTATGATTTGTTAATGTTTGTTTAACAATGTTATACCAAAGAGGTTATACTTAATATACTTATCAATTTGCATAGCCTAACTTTTTTATCAATAAACTTTGTAGATTTTCAGATTATTTAATTCCTTTTGTTTCCGTTTGTAATTTTATTTTTAAGACATATTATGTGATTGTTTCACATAATATGTTTTAAAAATAAAATTGCAAATAGCGAATAAAAATAATTAAAATAAAAAAGTGTATTTTACAATTCTCCCCGGCCCCGCACCCCTTTGGCTAACCTATAATGTCAGCTATGTCGAGAGATGGCGTTACGAAAATGGAACCGATTTATTACAAGGAACTTGGGCTTCTTTTTCGTTAGTATATTCTGTGCTGTAGAGACGACACAGATAAACACACAGAGTGCACACAGATAAACACAACAGATAAATGCATTTTATATATTTCTATTATGGAGCCCTCTATAATTTCTATGTAGATTCTTTATTATAAAATCATAAAATCAGAAAGAACAGCTTGAAACATGCTTGAAACGCGCTTGAATCATATATACATTTTTTATATACGATCTCGTGTCGCCCTTGTGCGGCCTTTTGACAAAATACATAAAATATGATGTATGGTGACGTGACATGTACGTCAGTCACGACGTCACACGTCACTTTAAATATTTAGAATCAGATGTTTTTTGTTTGTATACAATTGATGATTGAAAGCAGATTGAAAGACTCTATGGAAAGACTTAATTTGGATTATCTTGTAGAAAGCCACATTAAGTTTTAGAGGGTTTTAGTAACTGACTGTTAGGAATATTGGTATACCGGAATATTTTTCAAGATGTGTTATATAAAATTAGTTAAACAAAAACATAGGCACTTAAATATTGTTTGAAAGTTCCTCTGGCAACTCCTCTTTGCCTCTATATAGTTTACCTAAAAGCTCTATAAAAATATAAATGAATAGCTTTATAATATAATAGGATAGTTTTATAGTAAAACATGCCTCTTAATACTTGGAAAGTTTTTAACTCTATCAAAAATACTGTGTCAAAAGTTTCTGCAGATAAATTATTACAAGCTAATATTCAACAAATTAAAATTAAATTACCTATAACATTGGGTATAAATGAATATTTAAAATTAGGTGGTGAGAAATTGAATTCTGTTCAGCAATCTTTGCAAAATATTTACAATTCATCATTATCTTATACACTGAAAGACAATACAAATCATAAATCATGGAAAAAAAGTAAATCTCAGGTCTGTGATTATTTGTGTAGTAAAGGTTTGATTTGGTAATATATCTTTTGTAGTCTTCTGATATTCCTGGCCAAATATTACAACTTCTAAATTTAATTAACCTGTCCTCTACCGAGAGTAGCCTTACAGAAACTGTAGAATTGTTACTGATACAGCTAAGACAAAATTCAGAAATTCGACATATAGCTATTAAAGTAAATACTAATTTTCTGTTCTTGATGACTATATAGTAGTAATGATTTATTTAACTTTTTTAGCTTGGAGCAATTCACCTCCTTTTGAGAAAAAGATCTAAATTTCAAACAGATAAAACTATTGGTGCACTTAGAGAAGCTCTAACTATACTTGGATATATTGATCCTGTTTCCAAAAGGGGTATTCGAATTCTTTCAATTGACGGTGGTGGAATAAGAGGTGTTCTTGTTCTTGAAATGTTAAAAAAATTGGAAGAATTAACTGGCCAAAGAACCTATGATCTTTTTGATTTCATATGTGGAGTAAGCACAGGAGCTATATTAGCATATTCAATTGGAATTCACTTAAGAAAGCTAGATGACATTATTACCAGATATGAAGCACTTAGCCAAGAAATTTTCCGCCAGTCCCCATTTTGGGGCACTGGTAATTTAGTAAGGAAGCATGCTTATTATGACACTGAACTATGGGAAAAGAAATTAAAGGATTATTTAGGCGCAGATAGTCTTATATCTACATCAAGAAAACTTCAGACTCCAAAAGTGAATAGGAATATTTGATAAAAATATTAATTGTAATATTAACGATACTTTTTAGTTGTGTGTTGTGTCTGCTATTGTAAATCAGTCACAAGTACAAGCACATGTGTTTAGAAACTATTCTTTACCTTGGAAATTTCAGTCATATTATTTAGGTACACATGATCAGGCAGTATGGGAAGCAGCTAGGGCTTCTGCAGCAGCTCCAACATATTTTGAAGAGTTCAAAATAGGAAATTATATTCATCAAGTAGGTAAAGCCTCATCTACAGAATTTTTACCTGTCAGTTATGTAAGACGGATTAGAAACTAGCATATAGTATAATATAGTACCGTATGATCGAAAAAAAAACGGCGTCCAGTTGGCTCGGAAATGACGATCGATGACATTTCCCATATAATTTTACATATAAAATGACAGCGATCTTCATTTCATAGCCATCGCTGACGCCTTTTTTATTCGATCATACGGTATATTATACACTGCAAATTCTACTTTTTATCTATTATTTTATGGTTTTACCTGCGTTTTATCAATTCTTGTAATGTGTTAAGATCCTTCGCGGTCGCAAATCTGTTCTCCGCGCGCATGACGTCACTAGTAATTTTCTGTTAAGCTCCGCCAACTACATGCGCAATGTCTTCTCTCAAAAGATCCCTGGCGGTGGCAAATCGGTTCTCCGCGCGCATGACGTCACCCGGGTAGTAATTTTCTGTTAAGCTCCGCCCATTACATGCGTAATATCTATCATGGATTTTACTACAAAAGTGTATTTCTTATGGCGCACTCTCACGACTCGTGTACTTGACAAACATTTGTAATTGGTATACAGGGTATACATGGTGCGTCGGGCTTATTACTATACAGAATTTCTAAGTTATTATAGGAACTACGCCGCATTCTCGCCAGACCCTGTATGTCAATAAAAAATACTTGCCAAGTACACGAGTCGGCAGAGCGCGCCTTTATAGTTTAAATTTCATTTGTAAACATGCAAAGCTAAGTCTGCTAAAGTTTTAATCATTTGCTGATGATGCTAACATGGTTAGCCAAACGCGCGTTCAGTGTTAGAAATAAAGTGTTTTGGTGTATTTTGGTGAATTAGTGTTATGTTATTGTAATACCAAAGGTTCAAACTCCAACTGCACTTATTCTATGCAAAGCTAATTGTGAAAATAATATTGTTTTTTAATAACACAAGTTTACAAATTCGGGTCAACTTTTGGACACGAGCAGGTGAGAACGATTCTTAACGTTATTTGATGCCCTGAACTCACATCACACTCAGATCTTCAATCCGTTTGTCAAGAGGCACTAGTTTTCGAGTTCGCGCATGGCAGTAGCACTGCGCTCTTATAACGGCCCGGGTAGTTGACGCACGGTCAGTTGACGACGTTGATACTACTTGTAAACCCACAGGACGTTTTACTGCCACCTCTTCATATTAAACTTGGCCTTATTAAGAACTTTGTCAAAGCGCTCAATCGCGAAGGGCCAGCTTTCCAGTACTTAACCAAGTTGTTTCCAAAACAGTCATACGCAAAAATCAAAGAAGGAATATTTGTCGGACCTGATATTCGAAAACTAATGGCTGACGCAACGTTTACAAAATGTTTAACGCTTGATGAGGCAGCCGTATGGGCATCGTTTCAAAGTGTTGTTCACAACTTTCTTGGTAATCATAAATCACCGGATTACAAGCAAGTAATCGACAATTTGGTGCAAAATTACCACAAGATTAGAGCTCGAATGTCTCTCAAGATACATTTTCTGTATTCACATCCTGATTTTTTTCCACAAAACTTGGGCGACACGAGCGACGAGCAAGGAGAGCGGCTACACCAAGATATAGCGAAAATCGAAAGGCGATACCAAGGATTTTGGGACGAATGCATGAGGAGCGATTACTGTTGGGCCCTAATCCGTGAAACAGATCCCAAGCAGTATAAAAGACTCAGTTCAACCTCTGTTCATTTCTGATTTACATTGTTTAATTCAATAAATGACTGTTAACGGTCAAAAATAGTAAAATAATGAATTTGTTGAATATTTCGAAAACTAGAACCAATCTTACAAAATGGACTGTTGATTTGGATTCAGCTCCAAAAATTATCTTAGAAATTGCTTTTAGTTGCTCAGGTCCAGAACCGTGTATACTTGTGTAATCTTTAAACATTTCTGAACTTTGTGAAATCCTGTTATTCTGTGACACTGCAAAAATATTAGTTTTTGAATGTTGTTTAAGAAATGTGTTATTTATATTGTTAACAAAACCAGGTCAGGTCAGACCTACGCGTTGCCAAATCGAGAAGCGTCCACCATTGATGATGCCCTTGTTAAAGAATGGATCTGCAAGTTTGGTATTCCCATGGAGATTTGTACAGATCAGGGAAAAAACTTCGAGTCCAGTCTGTTCCAAGGCGTTTGCGAAGTCCTTAACATCCGCAAAACTAGGACGACTGCCTTACATCCACAATCCGATGGGATGTTGAACGCATGAACAGGATCATCAACCGTTATATGGTCATAGTAGTCTCTGATCATCAAAGAGACTGGGACAAATTCCTTCGCCTGTTCCTGCTGGCCTACCGTTCATCCATCCACAGGACAAACCGAGAATCATACAGCCAGCATCGTTATTGGACGGGAAGTCCGTCTATCTTGTGATCTGAAGTTTGGTTGCCGACCAAGATCGAATGATCGAAGCGCCGGTGATCGAATGAACAAGCACTACAACATTCAAGCCGAGCATGATGTGGGGCTATAATATGATCTTGATATATGATATATCTCCGAAGCTACAATCCTTGTGGGAAGGGCCATACGAAGTCATGGATAGGATTAATGACGTCGTATACCGAATTAGTAAATTACCGAAAAGGAAACCGAGGGTAATCCATTTCAATCGTTTGAGCCCCTACCAAGGGAAAATAGAAGATCGTGCTGGGACCGCGAGAACCTGCAGCTTTGATAGCCCTGATTTGGAGATGTCCGTTGACGACTTTATGGCCCGATACAACAACAGTGAGAAGGCTCGCTATGGAGTGACCAAAGAAGAACGAGACCACTTTTCCGTACCTCCTTATTATTAACTCGCTCACTGTGTGGCCCGATATTTGCAAATGCCCAGAGGAATAGCCACCTTCACAAAAGTTTGGGCGTGTAGGGAAACTACGCCGACAGAGAGAGAGGATACAGAAATTGGAAGCGTCTTGAGGCTAACCGGTCAAGCAAGATACATCTTCTACCTGGCCACCGAGCAAGCCGAGCTATTTCAATCTATGGAAGAGCCTGACTGAACTGAGAGAAGCCCTGCTAAACAACAACATTACACGGTTAGCCATTCCGAAGCTGGCGTATGGACTCGATGGTTTGAGTTGGCGTACAATCCGGAACATGATTGAAGTCCTGTTTAGATTTACGGAAATCGAGATCCTCGTTTGTTGTTACAACCTAAAGCGGATATCAGGAGAAAAACTGTAGAGTGCTATTTCTACCAGATTGAGTGTACCAGAAGCCGGTTTTGCAAATACCTTCATTCACCGGGTACATCTCGGGACGAGTCTGTATTGGTCTGTATCTAAGGAGGGGGTAGTGTCACAAAACCAGCCCAGCCACTAAAATTGTACAATATGAATATATCCATCCTATTTTTTGTAAATTTATTTATATTTTATTCGATGTAGGCAAATTGACAGTTTTGTTGTAAAACTGATAGATCCTGTCAGTTCTCTAGACTTCTGTCCATAGATAAAAGACTTATCTTCTGTCTTAATTCAGCAAAGGGGTCCGTTTTTCACAATGTTTTACTTGATATGTTTTGACTGAGAGGCTGCTGAGAGGTAAATGTTATGTGTAGGTAGGACATTTTAGGATTTAGTAAGGCTATTTGGCACTTGCAAATTGCAAATAATATGGGTCATCGTGTATATTGACGTTATAGGATGGAGGGATATTAGTAAACAATCCAACTGCAATAGCAGTTCATGAAGCTAAATTACTTTGGCCTAATACACCAGTACAGTGTGTAGTCTCGTTTGGTACAGGAAGAACCGTTCCAAATAAACCAGAAGTGCCTCATAAATTGTTATCTGACATTGGCTATATGGGAACATCTTGGACAAATAAATTTTATAAAATTTTGGACAGTGCAACAGATACTGAAGGTACATACAGGGTGGCCCATTAGTGTTCGGAAGTCCAACATCGTCATTGTTGTTGAAGATATGAAAAACATTTTTATACAGATATTGCATGGTTTATAAAGGGAAAACATATCTTTAAAATATTTTGTGGTATATGTGGTGTCCCAAAAAAAGTTATGATAAAGTTTTTTTTAAATTGCACCCCCAATTTTTCTGTGGAGATTTAGTTCAGCATAATCTTACCTGAGAAAAAAAACAGAGTATATTTTTGTTTCCATCACTTGCTTGGTGTTGCCATTCTATTTCATATTTACTGAAATTTTGGCTAAAACATTATATCCGAATAGTGCTTAAAACTAAAGTGAATTTAACTTTATTAATACTTAGCTATATTTTCCTAAAAACCAAGGATAACAAATTAAGTCCACGAAAGAAAATTTACATTATCTTATACAGAGTGATTTTTATAGCGTCGCTAACATTGCAATATTTAAAATGCTAATTTTTTTCAAGTAAACACCCTGTATATTATTTTTCTTTTCGATACAGAATTAAAAAATGAACATTTTTGTACTTAACGTATTCCTAAAATTTTTAGCGGTTTTGCAGATATTTGCTGTATAATATTGCATATAGGGGGTTTCAACGGTAAAACACGGACAAAGATCATTAGATGTCTAGGTGGCGTTGATAAGAACCTCGATAAGAACTTACTACAAAAGCCAAAGTAATAAGACTCTAAGTCTTAGATTTTAAGTTTGGCTTAAGTTTGGCTTTAGTATTACAAACCAGGTCTCTTTGGGGTCAATGGACGCCTTTTTTAAATTTAAGAACTTACTGTTGAAAGTTGAAAGAGTCATATGTAATATAATGCCGCGAATATCTGCGAAACCGCTAAAAAAATTAAAATTCTTTTAATACAATTTTCTTTGTATTCAAAGTTTATTTATTACTTCTCCTTCTAAAAGAAAAATAATATACAGGGTATTGTATTTAAAAAAATTGAGATATAGTCAGGGCCTATTTTTCATCTGGTCGGGCCCTAAGGCCCAAGCAAAAATTCGGGCCCTCTTTTCCAATAAAATTCAAAAATTCTCTTGTTAGTTTGGGTTAAAAAAATTAAACAATTATTTTTATCTTTTTAATAATTTTAAAAAATAAATAAACATTATTATATTCAACAAAATAAATACGTAATGAAAAAAAACAACAATTAATTCTAATTTAAAAAAATAAATTATTTTTTTAACAAAACCGAGATTTTCGCCGATTTTTTCGCCGATACCGGTATCTTTGATATAAATTTATAAATAATTTAAAAAAATGCATTAATTATATCAATCTAAAGCTTATTTTATTTAATTATATTTTCCTTATCAGAGGTTACTGTTTTTTTTCCTCTGCTATGTAAATTTACATTTGAAATTATGAATATTTTACAACCTTTGACCACCGGGCCCAAGGCCCGGGCCTTATGGTAAAATAGTCCCTGGATATAGTATTCTTATTATTGCGATTTTGGCGACGCCATAAAAATTACCCTCTATAAGATAATGTAAATTTTCCTTCGCGGGTTTATTCTGTTATTCTTGATGTCAGCCCCGGATCTACAATTTTTTTGAACCGGGGCAAAAAATTGATAGTAGCGCCCCCTCTCACCAGCGTTTGCAATAAATTAATTTAAAAAACTTACAAATATCTAGATATAGGTAGGCATTTTTCGTAAACGGGACAGAATGCGCCCTTAAGCTTCATTCAGAACCTCCGAATTAGTGGAATAAATTAGAGGTTTCAATTAGCGTAGAAGTTTGTTCCTTTAAATTCAATGTAAGCATTCAGAACGTCTAAATTAGTGGTAGTCATTTTCAATTAGTAGAAAAAGTAAACAAACTTTTGACTTTTCCACTAATTATACTTCAAATTTTGCGGGAAATGTCATTTTGGCCATTGATTAGCATCCGTCAAGAGAAATCGTGGTTAGAAATCAAAAGTTTATTGTTTTATAAGCTAAATATTTGGCTTTTTTATGGATACAACTGACTACCACAAGCTGTTGCTAGGATATTCTATTAATTTTAATTGTGTTTTTTCAACATTGTGTATGATCGTAAACTAAAAAGTAGAAAGTGTAATAATTGAAACCGCTAATTTATTCCACTAATTGCGAGGTTCTGAATGAAACTTTAGAATATGTTCAAAAACTAACTGGGCGTTTTAAAATAAAATGAATACTTGATAGAAGAACGTAAGGTGCATGCTAGGCGCTTTGTGGATCAATTTTTTTGATTTTCAACCATATTATATTATGGTTTTGGCGCCCCCTGACACTGGCGCCCGGGGCAAGTGCCTCGTTTTGCCACCCCTTAGATCCGGGGCTGCTTGATGTTAGCTAAGCCTTAAAGTTAATTTCACTCTAGTTTTTAACCATTGTTGTTAACTATAGTGTTTTTAACCAAAGTTTCAGTAAATATGAAATTAAATGGCAACACCGTATAGTGCTAGAAATAAAAATAACCAAATAATCAATATATGTACAGGGTGGGTCAAATTCGACGCTTTTAAATGGAAACGCCCTTTTCTATAGGAGATAGACGAAAACTAATATCGGTGTCTGGAGCTCAATTTTCATCAGAAACATGATGGTGAAAACTGCACATCAATATCTGTTACCGTTTCGGAGTTACGGGGTGTTTTTCAAAAATGTGCATTTTTAACAAATCGCTGTAACTTTTTTGCTATGGAAAATTTTGTATTTCTATGAAAACATTTCCAAAGCACCTTTTTACGTAGAATTTAATGGTTTAAGTATAATTTTTTTAAAATTAATAATTTAAGAGTTATCAACAGAAAAATTGATTTTTTATTTGGCACACCCTCTATATTTTTAATTAACTGTAAAGAATTTAAAATTACCTTTCCAAAAATATAGCACACTTGATACTTTGTTATAATCCCCTTCGAAATACAGAATTTTTAAAAGTTCGCCACTTTTAACTATAGTAGGCTTTGGACCCCTTATTGCTGATATACCCTTAATGGAACTCGAAAACATATTTTTCCAGCAAGACGATGCACTGCCTCTGAACGCTGAAGTTATCAGGAAATTTTTGCAGCCAATTTCAAGAATAATTGAATAGCTTACCAAGATCCCAGCCGTTGGCCGTCGAGGCCGCCTGACTTAGTGCCCCATCTAATCCTATGGATATATTTGCGGAAGAATAAAGGTTCCTTATTCCGTATAATCTAGACAAGAATTAGAAATACTTAGCAGTTATGAGAGAGTATCTTTCACCCCTACTGAGTTAATGAATTCCGCGAGAAATGTTCAAAAACTGCCCCGTCTGTCTAACAGAAGACGGTTAATATGTCGAACACCTGTAGCAAAATCTCATGTCTTGGTTTGCTATTTATTTTTATTGTTATTAGATATAGTTTAAATGTGTTGATGTTGGTTAAATATATTTTAAATTGTTATAAAATTCTGCATCTCTAATAACAAATATTATTTTCGTTTTAATTGATGCTCACAGCTTGAATTTTTTGCATTATAGCCGGTGCCGTTCAAAGCCTACTTATTTAAAGCGGGCAAATTTTTATATACTCTATATTTCGAAGAGGAATCGAGCAAAATATCAAGTGTGTTATATTTTTGGAAAGGTAATTTTAAATTCTTTTCAATAAACTAAAAATATACAAGGTGTCTCATATAAAAAATCAAATTTTCTGTTGATAATTCTTAAATTATTAATTTTAAAAAAATTATACTTAAAACATTAAATTCTACGTAAAAAGGTACTTTGGAAATGTTTTCATAAAAATAGAAAATTTTCCATAGCAAAAAAGTTACAGCGATTTATTAAAAATGCATATTTTTGAAAAACACCCCGTAACTCCGAAACGGTAACAGATATCGATATGCGGTTCTCACCATCATGTTTTTGACAAAAATTGAGCTCCAGACTCCGATATTAGTTTTTGTCTATCTCCTATAGAAAAGGGTGTTTCCATTTAAAAGCGTCGAATTTGACCCACCCTGTACAGAAACCACATATGTACAGAAACATTGGGGATGCAATTAAAAAAAAACAAAAACTTTATCATAACTTTTTTGGGACCCTGTATACAATAAAATATTTTTAGGATATGCCTCTCTATAAATCATGCAACATTTGTATGAAGCTTTTTTTCATATCTTTGACAAGGACGACGATATTGGACTTCCTCGCACTAATGGGCCACCCTGTGTATAAAAATAATAAAAAACTAAAATTAGAAAGTAGATAAAATAAAAAAAAAATATTTCAGTAATATATTTTTATTTATTATGTTGTTATATTTTTCCTTTAGATTTTATTTTCTAAAATATATTGTTAATAATTTTAGCTGTGCATGTTATCACAGATGTTATGCTACAACGACGACGATATTGCACTTCCTCGCACTAATGGGCCACAATGTATACCGGGTGCGTCTCGAAAGTGGCTCATCCCTATAAGGCAGGGTTTCTTAAAGTGTGGTCCACGAACCCCTTGGGGGTCCATAGCATATGTATCAGGGGTCCGCGGTCCGCAATACGCCAATTAACTGTAAACATATTTATTAAGAAAAGAAGTAGTGTAGGGCGGCGAATTCAGTAGGTATTTAATCACTAAACACTACGCGATGGGCGTATGGATCAAAAAAACAAAGTTGAAGCTGTTCTCTTATCAAACGATGTTATTCATTCTAGAATTGGTGAAATGTCGTCAAATGTTTTACAATAAGTTGTCGAAGAATTAATTGCTTCACCGTTTCCATTCAGCATTCAATTGGATGAAAGCACCGATGTGTCACAATGTAGCCAATTCTTGGTATTTGTCCGTTAACAAGACACACGTAGTATTAAAGAAGAGTTTCTTTTTTGCAATTCACTATTGGAGACTACAAAGGCTTCAGATGTTTTTGAAATGACAAAAAGGGGTTTCAACGAATAAAATATAGATTGGAAGACTAAACTTGGTAGTATTTGCACCGATGGAGCTCCCGCAATTCTTGGTAGTACGTCTGGTTTCGCGACTTTGGTCAAGAACGAGATCCCTTATGTCATAATAACTCATTGTGTCTTACATCGACATGCGTTGGTTTCACGGACTTTACCTACATTTCTGAAGTAAGTTATGTCTACATGTGTCAAAATAATTAACTTCATCAGAGGAAGAGCCTTAAACCACCGCCTGTTTAAAAGACTTTGTCAAGAAATGGGGTCAAAACATGAAGTACTGCTTTACTACACAGAAGTTCGTTGACTGTCAAAGGGACAGGTCTTAAAGCGATTGTTTGAGTTGAGGACAGAAGTGTTACTTTTTCTAAAAGATAAAGGAAATTCATTGTCTGATTATCTTGAGAGCGAAGATTTTGTAAGGGGGCTAGCATATTTGGCAGATATATTTACTCAATGAATGAGATTAACTTGTCTCTTCAGGGCTCAGATGCATCGTAGATGCATCTGAACGGTTGAAAGGTTTCATATGTAAACTGCCACTTTGGAAAAGGAGGGTGGAATCTGCAAATTTTCCGATGTTTGAAGAGTTAATAGCACAAGGTGACGGCAACACGATATCAAAAGTGCTACAGAAAGAGGTGTCTAAGCATTTGGATACATTGCAAACTTCTTTTGAAGGCTACTTTAACTTAGAATCGCTTGAAAATGACACGTGGATGCAGGGTCCATTTATAATCGACACGGATAATATCAGCGATGAAGATCTCATTAAAGATTACTTAATTGACCTGAGATCAAAAAAATTTTTGAAAGCTGAATTTCATGCAAAAGATCTTGGCGAGTTTTGGTGTTCTTTAAGTCAAGCTTACCCTCTTCTTGTCAAGCGAGCTATGTCCGTTCTGATACCATTTGCTACTACGTACTTTTGCCGAGGCAATGTTCTCGGTTCTGATCTCAATAAAAACAAAAAAGTCGCAACCGATTGAACGTCGCAGATGATATGCGCCTTGCCTTGTCGAAGATAACCCACAATTTAACGTTCTCATTGAGGCTAAACAGCAGCACCCTTCTCACTAATTTACTAGTGTAGGTGTAATAAATCTACTAATAAACGTTTTATTTTTATGTAAATATGTTTTTTTTTATTTTCCTCCATTATTTCTGATAGGGGTCCATGGAATTGTACAAACTGCGAAAGTGGTCCGTGACTGCAAAAAGTTTAAGAAACCCTGCTATAAGGTATCACATAAAAAACGAGATTTGGTATGATAGTATATGTCATAAATTAGGATTGATTGACGTATCCAATTGTTTTTGGTCACTTCCTGTTCCACAGGAAATGACTACAACTTTTGATTTTTAAATGGCACCCTCGGTTTATTTCTACTTTATTCGATAGAAAATGACACTCTGAATAGACTGACATGTCATATGTCAACTTTTGACAATTTTGTTTAAAAAAAATTGTATTTTAAATTTAAATCTAGAGTGCCATGGCCGCGTTAAAAACACTAATTTTTAATCAAGGAGCCTTGAAAAAATAGATTTGATCGTCTAATGTTTTTCGTGTCTTGTCCCGGCCGGCTAAAAGATGCTCAAATCGTAGTTTTAATCATATCTAAATTTTTCTAAATGGAACAAGGGTGTCTCATTAGCATATTTGAAAAAAGCATTTTTTTACGAGTAATTTGATACCACACACTTGGTATTTCGTCTCATATTGTCGTTATGAACCAAATATTACAATTTCAAATAAACCATATTTGAAAATGTCAAAAGTTGACATTATATGTCATTATATTCAGAGTGTTAGTTTCTATCGAATAAAGTAAAAATATACTAAGGGTGCCTTTAAAATTAAAAGTTGTAGTCATTTCCAGTAAAACAGGAAGTGACAAAAAACAATTGAATACGTCAATTAATCCTAATTTATGTCAAATACTAACGTACCAAATCTTGTTTTCTTATCTGAAAAAATAAAAAAGTTATAGGGGTAAACCACTTTCGAGACGCACCCGGTATATATAAAAAATAATAATAAACCTAAAATTAGAAAGTAGATAAAATAAAAAAAATATTTCAATAATATTTTTTTTTAAATTTATTTATATTTTTTTATATTGTTCCTTTAGATTTTACTTTTTAAAACAGATGTTAATAATTTTAGCTGTGCATGTTATGCTAAGCGACTTGCTACCAGAAAATGTTTATTACCGTTTCAATCCTTACTTAAGTGAAATGGTGGGAATGGTAGAGAGCGATCAAAAGAAACATGAGCAATTAAAGAGGGACGCCGTAATGTATTTGAGAAGAAACGAAGACAAGTTTCAGGAAGCAGCGAAAACACTGATGTTAAAGAAAAAAATTACCCAAGAAATAAAGGACAAAATTAATCTACAGAGACAGATTATTGGAATATAAATTGTAATTTAGAGGAAGTTATTGTTAAGTGTTTGTATAAATTAATAAATAATTAATGCGATTATTCAAGGAGAATAACGTTACTCATCAGTTTAACTATCTACTCTAGTCATATAATTAGATCTCATACATTTGGAGTTAAATAATTTATAAAAATAGAATTAACAATGTTTATTTTTAACTGTAATTATGTAAGACATAAAATTGACTTTAAATATAATTTATTTTGTTCAATTAGTATTACTAATTTTAAATACTGAAGTCATGTCGACAAAAGAGAGTCTTAGGTCGGATATGGGAGCCAATCGTTATGACGATCTTGTAAGTCTGAGAGAGGAAAACTCGAAGTGTTTATTACATAGTTACTTAACCCAGCGCTTTACTCGTGATCTTGGAAAAATACTTGCACTTCTCTCTTTGTTCAATTTAAAGTATAACACACTGACTGTACTCTTCGTACACAGGAAAATCGCCACCCAAAGCCTGGCGTTGCCGACCGTGTATGTTTTAGATATATCAAATTAGTTATCAGAGTGTTTTTCAAATAAAACTCCGGATCTCCTTCACTACTCCTTTATTCCGTTGTTATACCACAGCCGACTTACGACCACCTACGTTATACATGGAAATTTGTGTAACCACCTAGAAATTCGACAATCTTATGTAGGTAACAAGTAACAAGGATTCTGAATTCTGAGGTCAGTTTATAAAAACTATCGAGACTGGTGCTCTGACTCTCCACATGTCCTGTGTAAGAGAATAAGCGTTATAAGTGAAGCGGGAGTAATCAAAAATTATAAAACGGCCTCTACACTACTCGTGAAGTAAGCCAAAATAGGCGAAAGCCGAATAGCGAAGAGGGTTATTTCGTTTTCAATATGTATACCAAATGCCAAATAACCCTCTTCACTATGCGATCATGATCTACTATCATCTACTTTGGCCTACTTTGCAAGTCGTGTAGAGGTCTCTGCTAGATGTCTTAGTACTTGAATATTTGCGTACTTGGCAAGTATACTATATATCTGTAAATAACATTTTTTTTGCAACAAGCTTGGCGCTCACTGGGCGCGACGAGTGACAAATAATTGCACAAGTAAACCACTCACACTACATGACAAGTATACGCCAATAACAAATGTTTGTATAAATACACGAGTCTCAATTAGGACAGCAATGTTCCAATTCCGTCCATTGAAAGAACATTAGAGGGAGGGCACCTAACTCCCAACCCTCCTATATAATCCTCTCTGTCTATTGCAAAAAATTTAATGGTATGGAAATTTGGAAAAGTATGAACGGAATTAACCCTTTTAGAACAAGCAAAAAATATTATGGAGAAAGCATTTTTCTCAAAAAGTCAATAATAAATACGTTTTTCCTTTTGCAAAGACAATCTGGGGACGTACTGTATACAGGGTGTTTCAATAAACATGTGCCATTTCTCGTGGGGAGATTCCTCACGTAAAAATAAGATTTATTTTTCATATCAACATTGGTCCGATTCTGCTTTGCTTCGTAGCTACAGGTTGTTAAGTATCAATATTTTTTGCTTTATTATAATTTTCTTCCAAGGCTTTTAGCGTTTCGAATGAATTTTTGATGGTAAAAGTTACTACAAATGCGATATATTTTACATCTAAAACAGTGTTGATATATTCACCAGGGACGTGCGTATGGGTTATCACTGGAATATTTTTCTAAAAAAAGCATGTACGCCACTAACTTTTTCTCTTGTTAGCAAAATAGTGTAAGCAGTTTAATGCCGATTAAAAGTTGTCGGCTTGATATTTCGTCGATTTCGGCCTCCTTGATAAAATAAACGTAATTTTATTAATTTGCCTTGATTCAAGTCTAATAGCAACCTCTAAAAAAATTAATATCATTAACTTGCGAAAGTTTTAAATAAGTACTCATTTATTCCTCATCAAAAATATGATAACAAGATCCTATAAACATGGATATGGAAATGCAAAGTTTTAGAGTTACAGGATGTTAAAACTTTTTAAAGTTAAGTTTTTTGTAACTATCTTAAATACCATTATTTTTTTATTTGAAATTGCTGTATGTTGGACTAATAGTAATAATATTTAATAATAAATTAGGTAAAATATATAATTTTATTAATTATTGTGATTAATAAAATTGCGTTTATCTCATCAAGGAGGCCGAATTCGACAAAATATCAAGAGATAACTTTTAATTGGCACTAAACGGCCTACACAATTTTGATATCAAAACAAAAAGTCAGTGGCGCACATGTTTTTTTTGAAAAATATTCTAGTGATAACCCATATGCACGTCTCTGATGAATTTATTGACACTTTTTTAGCATTAAAATATGTAACACTTATAGTAACTTTTACTCTCAAACACACTGTAGCACGAAACAAAGCAGAATCGGACCTATGTTAATATGAAAAATAAGTATTTTCATGTGAGGAATCACATGATGAGAGATGTCACATATCAACTAGAGATGTGACATGTTTTTTGAAACACCCTGTATAAAAGAATTCATTTTCTCAGTATATTTAAAAATTCCTTTCAATAAATTTCTAGACATTATTTTCACTGTAAAAGTAAGTTTGTAAAAATCTGTGATTCGCTTCGTGGTCTTATTCACAGGTCTTATTTCTCCAAAATTGAAACAGAAAGGCGTTTAAATAAAACTACAGTATTTATCTTAAGGATTTTTTGGTTTATTCATCGGATGTTCTCAGGAAGCTGCCATTTACGAAATAACCTTTCCAGTTACAAGTTTTAATACATTTTAGGTATATATACGAATATTTTAAACAAAAATACATTCTATTTAGAGGCGTGAAGCCTTTTATACAATAAATATATTTGGAGCCTTACAGGCTATATCAATTCGACAGATTTCTTTTTGTAATTGCACATTTTAGGCACTATTGTTCTTTTCCAAATTCACATATTGGAAACATATTCTGACACAGCTACCGGTATATTATATAAAATAATAACAACCTCTGTGTACAATACTGATTAGGGAATGTCTTTAAAAATATGAGCACTGCAAGAAAAATATTGTACTAAATTTTTTTGTCTATTAATACTATTAATACGCTTATTTTTCGTTATATTTTCATACCTATCCAAGAGAGATACATACAATAATAATTATATTTGCACTAAAAATCTTACATAGGCTGGATAGATACGAAAACATTTTTTAAGTTGTTCATTTTTCTTGCAATGTCTGTCTTAAAATCTAAACTAAATAAAAATAATCTCAACAATAATAAATAATTTATCCTTAAATATATCAGTAGAATAATGAAATTCATGAATATTACGGTTAAATTAATTCCTTTCAGCCATCTAAAGGAATTTAATTCAACATTAAGGGGAAATGCAAAAAAATAAATTAAAAGAGGAACTGATATATTCGCGGGAGACAAAAAAAATTAATACTTTGTATACAAAAAAATGACGTGATGTGATCTGAACATTATGCATTTTTTCCATAATGTGTTATCTATATAATATCTACTTTCTTCAGCTGGATATTTGTGTGTAGAATAATAGCTATATGTATGATTTGAGATTCTATTTTAAAATACTGATCAACGAACAATTCCACTAAGACATCATTATTCTTCATCTAACGCGCTAAATAAATATTACGTATAAATAAATAAATAACAAATAATAAAAAAGTAACCAAACAAAGTAGAGATTCAAACACTCTGTCAAGTTGTCTATAACTTACTTAATATATTAATTGCCTAATGGTGAGTGTAGAGGACTAGAATAATAGAACATGAGAGATTACACTCCGCATTATTTTTTTTATTTTATTTTGCTAGGTATTCGATCATTTTTCTAAACTTAGGCATATCTTCGGTCAGGAGTAGGGATTCGACACATCCATCGAAGTAGCTAGTTGAAAAACACTTGGACCTACAGAAAAATAAAAAAAAAGAATTAATAATAGTTTGCAAGAGGGTGGTTCGTTAGTAAAATGGGTTATAGACATGATACAATATAACAGGCAAGACGGAACATGATGCGAAGATCAGGATTTTTAAAAAAAAATCGGGTTTCAAAAATGTACCCCTGTAAAATATTTGGGATTAGACGGTGATAAGTGGAAAAAATTGTGAAAAATCTGTTAACGAAACTCGATAATTGTGACAGTGATATTTTCATTAGCGCTTTTGACAAAAAAAAGTAAATTAAACATTGTCGCTCAGATGTGCGCACAATTTTTAAGATCATTTTTTTAAGACTTCTACTGTGACGTTGTTTTTATTCGATCACAGGGTACATTTATTCGTAGGCCAATAGTTAAATTTTATTAATAGTGAAAAGTATTATATCATAAGAGATTAGTAAATAATATGAATGAATGTACCTAAAATATGATCAAACAATTTTATGATCAAGCATGCTTTGTATGGTGACAGAAAAACAATTCTTATAAGATTGTTTAAAACAATTTAGGAAGTAGCCAAATAATATTTTTATATTCATACAATAAAGATGAAAACAGCCTCATAACTGTAACCGCTTTTTGTTAGTTTTGTTTAACTTTTTTTTCGACAAAGCTCTCAACAAATTTGAATTTTTGCAAAGTTATGACGCTTTTCAGTCTGTTTTATATTATTTCTTCTTTATTTATTGCATAACTTATTTTTATGAAAGTGTTGCAAAATCTGGCAAGACATTTGTGTCAGGACTTGATTTACAGTAAAATCATTGTTTGTATCTTAGGGCGGATTCTGACGACTCGTGTACATGGCAAGTACGCCAATATTTGCGTAATTGGCAAGTATACTATCTTTGAAAAAATAGGTATATGTGGGTCGAGTGACAAATAATTGCACAAAGAAACCACTCATGCCCCATGGCAAGAATATCCCAATAACAAAAATGTTTGTCAAGTACACGAGTCCTTAGAAAGAGGCTTCAAAAAATACTTGTGTAACTCGTTAGCCTAAAGCCGAAGCGCTATATACGTTGCCAAGTATGCAAATATTGGTGTATTTGCCAAGTACACGAGTCATCAAAGGCCGCCTTAATAAATAACTTACAAATTTTATATAGATGCCTGACGTACTAGTGCCTGAGCCTGTATGCCAATAACAAAAGTTTGTCAAGTACACGAGTCGTCTGAGCGCACCATCATCATAAAGGCGAACTCTGACGACTCATGTACTTGACAAACATTTATTATTGGTATATACTTGTCATGTTGTGAGTGGTTTACATGTGCAATTATTTGTCACATGTCGTGCCGCGTGAGCGCTAAACTTGTCGATTACAAATGAAAAAAATGTTGTTTCCAAAGATGGCTTACTCGCCAAGTACGCAAATATTGGTGTACTTGCTAGGTACACGAGTCGTTAAAGTCCGACTTAAGAAAAGTATGAAAAATAATGGCACAAATTTTCCACAAAGTAATATTATGTTACCAGTAGTAAGCCTATTTATAAACTTCTCTCTGGTTAATTACATAATTACCCCCATTACCCCTCCCGTATGTAATGGAAATTAATACATTAGATTTTTTAATCTGTCAAAGTCCACTTGACCATAAAACTTTTTGATCATACGGTATTTTAGATTAATTTTTACTTGTTACAAATCATGGTATTAACATTAACAGTACTAGTTTAAGTTGAAAAATATTAAAAGGGTTAGTGGATTAGGTTGTTAGGGCTACGTAAAATGGACGAAAAAGTTAGTAACGCCAACAAACAGGTACATATTAGATGGTTAGACAAATTATTAGACAAGACGACGTGCCACTGAACGGTTTATTGTAGTACCTAAACCCCTGGCTCTGCTCCATGTAACTGTTTTATCCAACTCTGTATTTCTTCCATTTCGTCGGAAAGTTGTAAGGTTTCAAGACAGCCCTTGAAATAGTCTGTGGTAAAACAGTTTTTCCTGGAAGAGAATTAAAATGGCTGATAACATTTTTTATTCGACCTTTTTATTGTTTTATATATTAAAATAACAATATATTTTATTTACTATATACAATTTCGGAGGCATTAAAGTGTATACAATACAACAATTTTACGACAGATTTTTCTTAGATCTATATTGGACGTTTCAAATATATATTTGATAGCAATTAAACTTTTAGTTACGTAATCGAGGGCGCGATTTTTAAATTCATTGTTGCCAACCATGGACATATTCGGCGCCGGGCTGACTAACTCGAATTTAAATTTCCCGCTGGGCATTCAGGTGGTAGCTCTGCTGCAAAAAATGTCAAGGTGCCACATTTATTTATTTATTTCTTGACATTGTCATCCGTTTTGACATTTTAGTTTTGTATTACTTTAGAGTGAGTTTTTGGTTTAAATGAATTATGTTGTGATACTTTAAGCTTAAAAATGTTTACTATAGCAGACCTCGAAGTCGAACATTGTTCTTTTTAGCTTTTAGTGCGAAGTGTACAAGATAGCTTAATAGCCATAAAAACTCATCGCAACTTTATTAGAATATTTTGAACCGGAAAGCGGTAGTAATGGCCCTTAAGTGCTGTTAAGGAGGTGAGTTTTGTTGATGTAAATAATAACGGTTACGGGTTTACGCTATGATTATGGCACTAAAAGAGATGCAAATATATGTAGAAAAAATCTCATTTTTTTTAAAAATAAATCATTTTTTTTTTTGAATTTTCAAACTTGAAGAACTCGGTTATGTTGGACGGTAAAGGGAAAAAAATATTTTTATCGATATCTACCAGCCCTGGAAATATTTGCACTTATCTAAGACTTACCCTGTGTATTGTTTTTTTTTTCAAATGGAACACCCAATATTTTATACCATAAATCAACACATTTTTTAAATTATTTTTGATTTTTTTGTGAATGGTTAAAAAATTGAATTATTTTCTGAATCAGAAATTGCATCGATTCAAAATCCTTTAAAAACAAAGCAAGGTCGTTTTTGTAATATACCAATAATTATTAAATTGGAAGTCCCCAACCACTGGACAGAAATAGAAAGGAAATATGAAACGGATGCTTATTAATTTAATAGTTTATAAGAACAATGGGCCTTTTTAAGATGAACAACGCCGAAACTATTTCGAATGCCTTTCAATCCAATTCGTGGTAAGGAAGGTTATGAAGATAATACGTTTTTAATTTGTTTGCTGCTCGTTGACATCGATCAGGTACTAAACACAGAAAGAAACTGTCTGCTAGACACTCTTTGAATTGTTTTGATTATGAAGTGAATCATCTTACATAAATATCTGGAATAAGCTGAATGTACGTGTCGTTAGAATTGTAACAGGACACGCATTTTGCTCACATTGCACGTTCTAATCTAATTGCATTTTTTGGAAGAAGCAGCCGAGAATTCCAAGAATGTGCGAAGAATAAAACAACAATCCTTCGCTAGAATTTGGCGAGATTCAGAAATGTAATACCTACTGTCTTAGAAATCGTTGTTAATTTGATATTATGTACCAGGTGTTGCATCAGGAACGGAGTTACATTAGAAAAACCAAAAAACCTTAACGTCATTAATTAATCCTAAAATTTTAGGATTATTTATTAAAGTGAATAAAGAAGAAAAAGTGACATGGCAAAGTGATTTTTTTTTTCGATTTTCACTTGGGATTCGAGGCAGCATCATCGACTGTCTTAATTTAAATATATCATTGATTTTTTGTCACTTTTTAATGCTCTGTATAACTACAAAAAAATGTCATGAAAGTTATAACCATAGATGAAAGACTTATAATATGTTATAGCATACCATTTGATTGCTATGACAAAATAGAATTTCGAAACAAGGCCGTTTTAATAGGGTTGCCAGACGTCCAGATTAATCCGGTCATGTCCGGATTTTGACTACATCCGGTTGGGTCCGGGCGGATTTTTCATAAGCGTCCGGATCTTAATGTTCCATTAAGAAATGTGGCAATAATTCAAAATAATATATTAGTTTTAATAAATTTAGTTGTTTAAAAATCGTTGATAAATTCAGCAGTGTAAATTCATTGTTTCACTTCGTAAGTTTTAGTTTTAAGTTTTGAAAGTTATAAGTGTATTTTTTTAACGTCACAAAAGTATTACATGTGTTATCTGTGGTATTATGTGGTTTTATTTTTGGGACGTGATTGACAATATAAAAAAGTCATTTTAACGCCTAGACGTAAAAGTAAAGCACTTTTAAGCCTCGCCTGTATATCAAACATACAGCCTCACCACAAAAAGTGTCATTTTTACTCCTATTAAAACAATATACTATTTTTTCAAAAGTCACAAAAGTATTAATTTTTGCGACGTCATTGACAACATAAAACAGTCATTTTAACGCCTAGACATAAAAGTAAAGCACTTTTACGCCTAAGCACAAAAGTACGAAAATATATTATTAAACTGACATAAATTAAAGTATTAAAGTGTCAAATTCAACACGCGGAACCATAGTTTCACGATACATAATTACTTACAAGACATTACTTTTAAATCTTTTTATATTATTTGTAACGTTTGAAATTGTTTAAAAAATTATTTATGGTGTTTGAAAAAAAATAGCATAGTCTGTTCGGAGTAAAAATGATTTTTCGTGCCTCGCCTGTATGTCAAACGTACAGCCTCGCAACTGTTTCATTCATTGTTACTTCTAATAAAACAATATACTATTTTTGCTCTTAGGTATATCGCTAAAAAATTATGACGTCCGGATTTTGTCCGGATTTTTGGGAGGCTTGCCCGGGGTGGACAAGTTTTCATCTGGTAACCCTACGTTTTAATAACCACTGACAAAGTACCTAATTAGACATCGATACCAAGTTGATTAAAATCGATTCTTTTTTAAATCGAGATATAATTTGAAAGTAAAAAAAATTGACCTCCCTCCACTTTATTTTTGATAATAGATCAAAATAGTCTGAAACAAAAAGGTGGTTAAACTGGTTGAAAAATACATATCCTTATAAAATAAGACATATATCTACTTTAAACATACATCATTAAGGGAAATTTAAGAAAAAAAAATGGGAATTTTCAATTTTGTATTACTGCTACGCCCACTAGCTGCGAAATTCTAAACTAGAAAATAATTTGGAGCGATTTTTTTTAGCCCATTTTCCTATAAATATCTTCCATTATCAATCCCTGCTGATAACCGATAACTACATCTGTGATTGGACCATCCTTTATAAGGGTTACAATGGAACCCAAATGCTACCGTCTTCTTACGGTTGTTAATACCTCTATCGATTGGATAATATCAGAGACAATTTTTAAGATACTTTCTTTTGGGTTACCTATTAAATCTACATTCCCTAAATTGCGTTTGTGGATGTTTCCACTATCACGAAACTACACTCACCGGCACGAAAAACGGGCACCTTAAAATTTTGATGTATATTTTAAAATTTAAAGTTTGTTGTTTTGTTCTAGTGGGCCGATTTTGATGATTTTTAGGCAATAATTTAAGTAGTTAAATTATTTGACTTTTTAGTATCTTTGTCTAAATTAAAAATGAAAGTTCCGGTCGGTCAATTATACGAGGGAAAACAAAATGTTGATATTTTGGTGAAAGTTTGAAACACCCTGTGGAATATATTAACAAAGCAAGAAATTTAAAAATCATTTTATCATCTAGGTACGTATTTTCTCGTTATTTTTTTTTAATTTCTATAGCTTTATTTTTATTGGAGATATTTGCTTTTGAATAAGACAGTAACTATTTACAGCAATTTTAGCTTTGAAAGCGTGCCTTTGCTTTTGGATCCTCATCAACACACTTATTTATTGACGTTTACTCTAGTAGATATGTTTTTAATTTCTGAAGTATCGGTTATTGCTGCTTGAATTGATCATAGTAGATCAACTTTTGGATTTGAAACCATCTCTGCTACAGTAACTGCCGAACAGACAATAAGAAGAATTCGAAGACAGACATGACACAAATCATAAACACTATTTTATAGGTCTGATAACTAGGACCTAGGACCAAAAGCAAATGTATGGCTTTAATGTAAAAAATACAAGAAAAGTTGGTGTCTTCTTCAAAAGCGAATATCTCCAAAAAAAATAAAGCTATTAAGATGAAACAAAAAACAAACTATAGAGAAAAGATACATCAAGATGATAAAATTATTTTTAAATTCCTTGCTTTGTTAACAAACTCCACAGGGCGTTTCAAACTTTCAACAAAATATCAACATTTTTTTTTGGGTTTGCTTTGGTTTGATTTGACCCCGTATATTTGCCAGATGGTAACTTTCATTTTTCATGAGATATATTAAAAAGTTAAAGAATTTAGCTACAAATTGATTAAAAAATAATCAAAATGGCCCATTAGAACACGATATATAAAACATTTGAAATACATAACAATTTTAAGGTGCCTGATGAGTGTATGATAATTAGTGATGGGATAACTCGAGTGAAAATTCGCTCGAGTACTCGATTATTGAGTCGAGCGAATTTGCTACATACATTGCAGATTGGCAATATTTTAACAGTATTTTTGGTAAACTATCTTCAAACAACAGATTGCTCTTTTGCTTGGGGCGGCATTGTTAATTTTAGAACTATACTACGTTATCTGTTACGTAACTGTGTGACAAAGTTTTACCACCTACATCGACAAGGCTTCAATGCATGATCAAGCGAAACTACTCGTCGCTTGCCACTATCATCGAAAGAATATGCGCTCTGCGCACGCAGCTTACTGCTTGGCGTTACGAGTGCAAGTACAAGCGACGGCGACGCCGACGGTGAAAAACCGTATATTTAAATACGAGCGAAATTTCGCTCGAGTGATCGCTCGATTATTGAAATCGCTTGAAACTCGAGTACTCGATTATATTAAAATTCATCGGTTTTTCCCATCACTAATGATATTATAGAATGAAACCTACATGCAAAGCGAGTGAATTTGGGGCTCCCTGAACAGGTTGTAGCAGTCCTCGCAGATGCGGTCCAGCCTGGCGAAGATGCTCTTGTCGTACACCCCCTTGCACTGGATGTCGAAGAAGGAGCGCTTGGTGAGGTGGTGGGTGAGGAGAGGCCCCACGCCGCCACCCCGTTCCCTGCGCCAGGGGCTGCCAGCCCTCACGGCCTGCACGCACAGCGCGATGGCCAGGCAAGTCCACACCGCCCTAGTGGTGCCGCTTCCGCGTTGAAGCTGCGATCGCTGACTCATCTGCAACAATACCAAAATAGAAAATTAGAATTGTCGATAAAATAAGTGAAACATTTTTTATCAGTTTAAAGGTTTTTAATTTCTTACAACTAGTGTTTCTGGAACCGGAGTTGTTTTTCGTTTTTGGAACCGGAAATTTCTGTACCACGCCTCTAAGGTACAAGGATTTATCTTTTTATTTTGGTACTTTCGGTACTGGCTAATTTTTGTTTAATAATGAAGTTTATCAATCAACAAGAAAAGGATGGGTTTCGCAAGTAAAATCGATAAAAATTGAGTTTTTAATGAAAATAATATCAAATTATTAAGTAATTCAGTTATGAGAAAATTGAAAAAAACATGAATACAAGCGAATAAAAAAACATACCTACATAACTTAAAAATCACATCAAACAACATAATTCAACTTAACCAGGGTTCCGAACTCGGGGCCATTTTTTGGAACCAGGAATTTCGGTACCATGCCTCTAAGGAACCGAGATTTCCCGTTTTTTTCGGTAGGTAGATTCCTTACTAGCAAATGAGTGTTCAATAATTGTGCATTCGTCAATCAGCAAGCAAGGGATGTAAATAAAAAGAAGTAAAAAGTAAAAGCGATAAAACATTGAGTTTTAAATGAATATAATGTCCATTCGTTAATCAGTCATGAGAAAATTAACATGAACACAAAGCGAAGGAAAAAAAAGAAGAAAAAAACATCAAAAGTAAAATCGATAAAACTTTGAGCTTTAAATGAAAATGCTCATTAGACAATTCATTAAGTAATCAATCATGAGAAAATTAACATGCACACAAATGAACACAAGCGAAGAAAAAAGAACGAAAAAAACATCAAAAGTAAAATCGATAAAACATTGAGGTTTAAATGAAAATAATATCAAATTATTAAGTAATCAGTCATGAGAAAATTAACATGAACACAAATGAACATAAGCGAAGAAAAAAAAACATCGAAAGTAAAATCGATAAAACATTGAGGTTTAAATGAGAATAATATCAAATTATTAAGTAATCATGAGAAAATTAACATGAACAGAAACACAAATGAACACAAGCAAAGAAAAAAGCGAAAAAAACATATGTAACTTTAAATTTACATCATAAATCAACATAAACCAACTTAACTAAATTTAAAAAAAAAACTTAAATTTTCAATTTAAAATTCGAATGCCTATAAAAGAACAAGATGAAATATTTACTAATACACTCAACAACATTATACTAAATAATAACATATTTAAACTTCAATAATTGCTAATAAACATTATAGGAGAACTTCAGTAGTAAGAGCAATAAGAGCATGGGCGCCGGACAGGGGGGGCAAGAGGGGGCATTTGCCCCCCCCCTGGATCACTGAAACAATAAAAATAAAAGCTATCTTCTTACATCCATCTGTAAAAAAATAATCATTATTATGAAATTGTTAGGTGTTACCTGTAAAATAATAAAAAATGTGGCAATTATTGGGAAAACTGGAAATCGTCCGATTTTCACCAAAATTGGTATACACACTGAGGTCGTAGATTACGAATCTATTTTTTTCTTGGCGGTCTCTTACCGTTTTTCAGAAAAACGGAAAATTATTTCAACATTGAATTTTTCTTTATTTCGGCCCTATAAAGTAATAATTTCACTATATTTTCATTATATTATAGTTTATCTAAAAGCCACACTTGATTGGGGATAGAAAAGTGTCCAACATTTTACTGAAAAACACTTTTCTTAACAAAATAGCAAAGAAAATTGAGACCAGATGGAAGTTTGACATTTGATATATCCTTCTTTCTCTCTCCTATGTAATAAGAGAGACAAATTTATTCTAGACCTAATCTAGAAATTTGAAAATTTACAACGTTGCCATATCTTCTATTTTTTCGGGTGATTACGGAATTTAAATAAATTACCTATTATGAGATCAACAATAATTAAATATACACCAATATCCACAAAATTACGCGGAAAAGTTTTGATTGCATTGGTTTTAACTTCTTTGCGGAGGAGGTTAATCTTTTCTTAGTTAATCTAATAATATAACAACAAAAGATTAACACCCTCTGCATGGAAGTTGTAACCAATGCAATCAAAACTTTTTCGTGCAACTTCGTGGGTATAAATAGTCAGATCTCGTTGGTAAAATAGCAGTTATGGGAAGGAGCCGTTCTTCTGGCGACCGCCTTTCGTAATTCCAGAATGAGCGAAAAAAACACGCTAAATTTAGGTTTAACATTGGCAACGTTGCTTTAAATGCCAGAAAGACATAAACTTACTTCGGGTTTCTCTTATTACCGATTCTGAACCGTCCTAGAACTGTGATGTGTATGCGCAGAAGGAAATATGAAGACATTACTTCATTTGCGCATGCGCTGCAGAGTTCTTGGACGGTTCAGAATCGGTAATAACAAGAACCCGAACAAAGCCATAATCTAACATTTTCAGATTGTTTACAAATTTATTTTAACAAATTTTCCTCTATTATGCATAGAATTGGTTAAAAAAGTAACAGAAAAGAGCAAAAACATTATTGATTATTGAATACCTAACAAAATATGTGCTAGAAAACCTTAAACATATGAGAAATTAAGAAAAATTCGATATTGAAATTATTTTCCGTTTTTCTCAAAAACGGTAAGAGACCGCCAAGAAAAAAGATTCGTAACGTTCAAATTCGTAATCTACGACTTCAAAATAGGGTGTATACCAATTTTGGTGAAAATCGGACGATTTCCAGTTTTCCCAATAATTACCAAAAATGTCAATTTTTTATTCATTTTTACCTTGCCCCCCCCTAAATTTCATTCTTCCGGCGCCCATGAATAAGAGCATCACTACTTATTTGGTAGTTTGATTTTGACTACTAGAAAGTATCAATGGACTATCGCATGTAACAAATATTTTTTTATTATTGTTACCGAGTCCCGAAAGTACCGAAAAAATTCTTTGATGTCATACAAAAGAACCGGGAGTTCCCGGTACTTTCGATTTCCCGGTTCTTAACCCTACTTAGAACGTTACATTAGAATAAATTTTCGGAGGTGCTAATATTGACATATTCCTTATTTCAGTGAGATCTTTTCAGATCTATTTTCCTTGAGATTACATTCTCCAGTGCATTTTGAAAAAGTCTAATAAGTTATAAGTTAGAGAGTAAACCTTTCATATATCTTTTTCACAATGGTTTATCATCGCCTAGTACCGTATGATCGAAAAAAGCGGTGTCAAAGACGGCGGAAGGACAGTTGATGATAATTTTGGCTACGTCAATCTCTAGACGTTTACAAAAAGTTCACATAAAACTTACAAAAAATTGACATAAAACTTGTCAAAAATTAACACGAATTATAGAAAGATTAAAAAAGGACAGAAACGTTTCCAGACTCAATCTATTTCCAAAAAAATATTTTTTCTCGAGTTTTAAACTACACCATTTCAAAATCATTTTTAGTCAAGATAAAAATAAATTACAACCTTCTTAAGCCATTAAAAAATACACAAGAGTACAAGCACAGAATATCTAGCTACGCAACAGAAGCCTCGTTGCATGTATAAAATTGTAGGTAGCAAAAGGAGACAGGCTTTAAAAGTCTGTCTCCAAATCAGATATTTTGATGTGGTATTTTCGCTACTACATAATAGAGGACAATAAATTTAAAAGAAAACAGTTTTCTACAAACAAAATTTAATAGAATTTTGTGCAGTGTTGCCATTGTGTAATTCATATCGCAATACTTCCTGATAAAGCCTACCTTCAAATTTGCTACATCATTTAAACATATTAAAATAGATCAGAGCTGTTTTTTTCAGTTTGCCATGTTAGTTGGAATTAAATCTTATGAGCTAAATTACAATCACTTCCTGACGTTTGATTGTATAATTGAATCCTGAATTTTCATTGTAATTCGGCGACAATATAAAAGTATTGTTCTACTATTATGATACCACTTCCTGACGTTCGATTGTGTTACCAAGTTCATATCGTACAATCGGGAAAAAACGGCGTTAGCGATAGCTATGAAATGAATATCGCTGTCATTTTATATGTAAATTTATATGGGAAATGTCATCGATCGTCCTTTTCCAGCCAACTGGACGCCATTTTTTTCAGAAGCATATCAAGTGATACCATAATATAGTACTATATTACGATACATGGCGTTCGATTGGGCTTAAACTTGGTATACTATATCTTCAGTGACATTGTAATATCATGGTACCATGGAGCATATAAAGTGGTACCTTCTATAGTACCATATAGCAATATTAGGTACATGGCGGCAATAGGGCTTAAACTTGGTATACTACGTATTTTCGGTGACATTGTAATATGATGGTACTATGATGCATATCATCTGGTACCATAATATAGTACCATATTATGTACATGGCATTCGATTGGGCTTAAATTTGGGATACTACGTATCTTCGGTGATATTGTAATATTATGGTACCATGGAGCATAATAAGAGGTACCATAATATAGTACCATATTACGATACCATTTCCTGGCGTTCGATTGGGCTTAAACTTGTTATACTACGTATCTTCGGTTACATTGTAATATGATGGTACTATAATGCATATAAAGTGGTACCTTAATATAGTACCATATTTCAATACCATTTCCTGGCGTTCGATTGAGCTCATATTTGATATATACTTGCGTATTTTTGATGACATTGCATTATTATGGTACCATGAAGCATATCAACTGGTACCATAATATAGTACTATATTACGTACATGGCATTCGATTGGGCTTAAACTTGGGATACTACGTATTTTCGGTGACATTGTAATATGATGGTACTATGATGCATATAAAGTGGTACCTTAATATAGTACCATATTACGATACCATTTCCTGGCGTTCGATTGGGCTCAAACTTGGTATACTACGTATCTTCGGTTACATTGTAATATGATTGAACTATAATGTATATAAAGTGGTACCTTAATATAGTACCATATTACGATACCATTTCTTGGCGTTCGAATGTTCTTAA